GGATGCAATTTTGCTAGCTTGTTTGCAGGGAGTAAGGAGAATAAACAAACTGAAATGTAATAGCCACAGCAAAATAATATCAGCATCATAATATACTTTGCCTGACAAAAAAGGGATGCACCTAGGAGTGGTTGGAAAGGAATGAAACTACTTATGCTGAAGGACCATATGACTACTGATTACTTACGGTCACACTGATTACAATATGGGATTGAAGAGACAAGGCCATTGGAAGTTATAGGAAGAAGGTTGGTGACAGGTCACTAGGGTGTCGCACCTCCTCTAACTGCAATGGATGGCTTTATACAGTTCAGAATGGAGTTGTACAGGTTTTGAATCCTTTCTTGGGCAAGTTCATCCACAATTGTTGCAGCTATTCCTTCAGATGGTGCTGGTTGATACTGCAAGAGAGTCCTCTTCCAATGGCATTTCACACTAGTTCAATGATGGAGAGGTGCGATGATCTTGCTGGCCACAAGAGGACCTCAACACACTCTAGGCAGTCCATAGGTACACATACACTATCTTATTGGAATATTATCCCAGGGTGCTGTGCCATTAAGGATAGGATGTGTGGATGCAGAATAGCTGTAACGAATCGCTATGCCATCAAAGTCTGCTGAAGCACTATAAGTGATTTTAACACACATCTGATGGCTCCCCATACCATAATGTCCAGGGTTACACCTGTGCGTCTCTCCACACCTTGGGCAGGATGCGCCCTTGGCCCTTCACACCACCACACTCTAACATATATCATATCAGAAGTTATGGCGAGGTAGGACTCGTCACTGAATGTGATGCGATACCATTTGTCCACCGTCCATGACTCCTGGGCATAGTATCAATCCTAAAACTAAAGTCAGTGTTCTGGTGTCTTGGCAACCAACGCATGGGGTGGTGGAACCCTAATCCGATGGATGCAAGTTGTCAAGCCAGTGGGAACTCTCAGGGTATTGTAAAGTTGCCAATCCATGTTCACAGATGACGGGTGCTGTCGTTATGGAATTTCGCTGTCCTTGGCACACCATACATCAGCCCTCGCTGGGGGTCATGATTCTTAGTCAACAGAGCTTGCACAATGCGCATGGGTACCCTCATGTATCCATTGTTTTCAATGTCAGCCACTGTGACATCTGAATGGCCCACAGCCTAGCAATTGCACAACCAACCAGCTTCATGAAGTACACAATGCTGCCAATATTAAATGCAGTCAATTGGTGGACATTCTGTCAAACGCATCTGCATGGCATCGTAGGTGCTTCTTACTGTAGGTAAATGTCATTCTTCACTGTCTGACTCAAAGCAGTTGACCGATTACAACTGTGCAACAACAGGGCGGTGCACTCTGGTAGGCGTTCTACACATTACAGATAAGCGTGAATCTAATAATTTATTCCCACATCAATTGTATGCATGTGTACCAAAATGGTGATAATATGGGACTACTTCAAGGTGCATAACATTTTTTGTAAGGCAGTGCATGTAACAATTGCAACAACACTATATTTTGTACACAGAAATCATGTGCAGTACAAACCAATGGTAAAAACGTACACAAACTGAGAATGTAATTTTCATTACAAATACAACTGCTAGAATTGCTTGTTAACAGTTGCCCAATAAGAGAAAAGAAGAGCCAGTCATATTGGTCTACATTTGGGTAATATTCCTTTTTGTTACTTCTAAGCATCCTCAGGTACCCAACACCTTATTTATATTGAGGGTAAATTGTAAAACAGTAAAATAAAAGGAGGTCGCGGAATAAGATATGCAAAACTGTCCCTGGGAATCAAAATTTTATGTCGTAAATCTTAATTGAAGTATAAAAAACAAGATTTTCTAAGCCCTAAACTTTAACCTAGAAAATTTAACAGACTTTAAATAAAATTTTATGAAACAATAACATTCACCTTACGAGCAAACCACATATGTGCAGAATTAAATCAATTTACCCAGAATACTTCCTATGAAACTAGAAAAAATACTTTATTTTAAGAATATCTCATGTTCTGACACAGATAATAAAAGGGCTAAATATAAATTGCAGCCCTGTAAATTCTCTTGTTTCCCAAAAATATCAACCTTTTATCTTATGATTTGCACAGCTCAATATAAATAAAACAGTAATTTACTAGCATCTTATATTCCTTAAATTAGGTTTTGTTTTATTTTAATAATTAATTTTGTTTAAAGAATTGGTTGCCCCGACCGGGACTTGAACCTGGACCCGAACCCAGGTCGGAGAAACCAATTCTTTGAACAAATTTAATTATTAAAATGCATTGTTACTCGGTAACATGGTCACAATTTGGATTTCTTTACTACTGCGGAATATATTCTCCAAGTGTAATTGTGTAAAACAAGGTGACAACTATATGTAATTTATTTACTTTCATAATTTTTCTATTTTATGTTTATTAGAAAAGATAAAAAATGAGAAAAAAATTGAAAGAATAATATTACAACCTATTGTAATTTGAAAGTTGAATGAATTAAGATTTTAACTAAAATGAGTTTTTATACTCTACCTTACCAGAATACTTTCATTGCTTTGATTATTGCTAATATATAATGCTAACACTTGTTTCTCTACATGGTACATGTAATGAAATGCTCTAATATTATGCAAATGTTCAATACAAAACAGTTTTTGCATAAAGTGTTTACCGCAACTGTGATTTTCTTTTGGTAAAAACAGTCATCGCTACAAAAACAATATGAGTTTGGAAGGAACATTAATTAGTTCACTGATTGAAAAGCACAAGAAACAGCATTTTTATGTAGACTAGCGATGGTTCTCTGAAAGGTCATTTCCATTAATTCTATTTTCACATCTTGTTAGCATGTACCGTGTAAGAACGATCATCAAGATTCTGACAGATATTTCTGCTTTCTATTGCTTTCTTGCTGTACAGAAGTAGATGATAAACAATCTACATAGAAGTAGATGATAAACAATCTACATCCTTCAATGATGCAGATGAAGAAGGCAAACCTTTTGCATCTGGTAACATTAAACCAGATAACGTGAGTATCAAATATTGTGCCTTACAGGTACACAGTAAATCTGCACATAGTGATGTAAAACCAAAAAGGTTTTTCCCAAAATCTGCTGCCTAAATCAAAAACGTGAATGAGTGCATCATAGAGTGACTACTGATTATTAACAACATTTCAAATAATTTTTAACATTATTTGTAACCTTGTTTTATTTTATCTATAAACTGATTTTATTTTTATTGAAAATGTTAATTCATTCAATATTCACATTACAATAAGTTATAATATTATCCTACAATTTTGTTTTTATTATTATTTACCTTTTCCATAAACATAAAACACAAAAACTAATAAAACAAAACCTAATTTTAAGAAAATAAATATGAAACTATTACATTATTGTTTTATTTACATTCAGTTGTTGGATACAAATTATAAGATAAAAGGTTGAAAGGGATTTTCAACAAAAAATGTACATTCCGAGGGGCAGTTTTACATATCTTAATCCGATACCATGTTTGTCACTAAATTAAATTTGTTCCATTCCCTTGAGAATAAAACTGTTGTTCATACTACTTTAACAAATTAAATGAATTCACATCCTATATAATTATTATAATTTCAGCAGTTTGTGACATTCATTGTACAAACATATTTTAGCAGAGAGGTTAAAATGACTCCTTCAAAATTTCTGAAAAATTACAGAAATGAACAGCGTAAAAAGAGTATATTCATTAAATGTCCATAAATTTTAATTTAAAAAAGGTGAAAGCACAAAAATGTTTTTTGTTTTAGCCAATTCTTCGTGCACAGTACAAGAAGCTTTTAATATCATTAGCAGATCGCAGATTCTGGTGACATGTCATCTTTTCATTAGTACATTGTAGACATAGCTAATTTGTAAATGAATGTTTTTCATGACATAGGTGATAGAACTGTATAGTTGTTGGGTAATTTGTCATTTTTCCACCTTTATCACTTTTTTCTTACCTTTGCATCATTTTTTTCCTGTTTAAGCTTTTTTTCCCTTTCCATGTTTTTTGTTAGTGAATGTTTCATGAATTTACAATGCCTTACTAAAACGTTCTTATTGCATCGTCGGTTTATGAGGAAATTCACTACTACAATGAACTGTTTTTCAAACTCTGAAAATTACACTATTTTCAGTAACTTCCTCGACCTTTCAAGACTGAGGGTTGGAAGATCAGAGCTGACGATTACATTTCCTCTTAAAATGAAGAGTTTATATTAAATATGATTTTAAATAAATAAATAAATTTTAATTAAAATATAAAATTCATTAATTAGTGAATATTTTCACACAAATTTTTTAGTATTTTTTAAAAAATTAGGACATTTTCGCCTTATTTTTACGGTTATAGGTCATTTTCCTTTTATTTTCACGTCTTTTTATATGTCATTGTCAAAGAACATTTAGGTCATCAGAATCCGAGCCCTGATTATTAGTTTTCTACTTGCTGCTCCTGAGTAAATATTTTTTAAACCACAATCAGTATGAAAGGTAAATACAAAATAAATTGAACTCTTCAGAAAGAACTGAAAAATTGAAGAAAGTGGTGGAAATACTAAAAATGGATAGTTACAATGTGCAAATATTTTATTCCACCAGGTTCTAAGCCCTAACCTTTAACCTACAAAGTTAAACAGACTTTAAATAAAATTTTATGAAACAACAACATTCATCTTACAAGCAAACCACATATGTGCAGAAATTGAACTGCATCTTAAAATACAATATTAATAAAAAGAAATGGTCACAAGGGTTAAATGGGAAATGTGCAATAAAGTAATTTCTTAATGCAAAGCTCCCCATTCATTATTATTCTGACTTTTGCATGCTGAACATTATTATACAACACAATTAGCAAAATTACAAAATTCATGAATTAAACAAACAACGTCTAATATAATAATTATCGAATTCATAATTCGGGTAGCAGAAGAGTAAGTATACATGCACTAATTTACACACTAACCTTTCCTTTCTGATGCCAAGGAGGGATCAAGGCGCATCTTCTTATGAACCCTCGCACTTGTACGAAGTTGTGGACCAGAATTCGGAACACCTGATTCAGAAACATTAATCGAACCCAACTTTTCTGGTACTTCAATTGACGCATCTCGGGCCATTGCTTTGTCCATGATTCTGATAGGACATCAGCCATTAACGAACTATTGAACACCATAGCGTAATTTTCCACATTACGACAGAGACAATAATAATCTCAACATTTCCCACAGCATTTTCTAGATCCTGAAAGATAGAGAAACAACAAAATACGTGTCAAAATTGTTTTTCTTCGTGAAAAGGAAGCAGTTATCACCTACTCATATCGTCAGTTCGCGCCCGTACTTTACTCAACATTACAATTATTTTAACACGTTTAAATTCGTTGACAAATGCTTTAAAATACACAACTATAATCTTTGGAGTGTATATTTTCTATTTGCACTAATGAACATTGGTGTTCCTTACATATTAACCCAAAGAAACATAGAAAGTTATCGACGTCTACAAACAAAATTCCTTGCAAATGGCGGGTGCGTAATTACAGACATGAAGTATTTATATTCACAGTCACAAATGGATCTTCAAATATTCTGACCTCATTTGTCCATGGTTAAACCTTCTGTTTGCCGTTTTTCTCCAGTTTGCGGTGTTATCTGTCACCGGGAAAACTCGGATAATTATCTCACTACATGATGTCAATATTCCATACACCTAGACCTGCACGTCTCGCACTAAAAATCGTAGTCCCTCTCAAACACTGTGGCCTGTTGCCAACGTTTTGTAGTGAATGTTCCCTGAACTACCACTACCTACTTTTCACTAGAAAAAATTAATTGTAACAATATTTAAAAAGAAAAACTCACTGTGTCTGATTTAAGTAGCACGCCAGCCTCGGTAACATCGAACTAAAACCATTTGGCTTTAAATGTCACAAGCAAGACCCCATTAGGTTTACAGCATTGTCCGACAGCTCACAGGCAACTCGTGAACTCTCCTTCGAGATTGAGAAAGCTATTTATGAAATGACAAGCAGGCAGCTGGATTAGTCGAGATCATAAATCTAATAGAAAATCAGAAGTATCTTTATCATGAAAGATGTACATATCATTTTATGACGTCCTTACTAATGATACACCAATTTTTCATTTTTTAGAACATTTTATGTATTCTAGTAGTACAGGGAAGTTCCGCCCACTTGTACCGTTGAACGAAAAAGGGCAAAAACATGTATAATTCATGACCGAGTGGACACTGATAACTTAAACTCAGGGCTTCGGCACACATTCACTCCTTTTAAAATACTTACCGCGACATCAACATACCTTCTAGAAAGAGTTTCAAAATTAACAGAAAATAATGGTGACGATTCCGACATTACGCAAAACATCGTCTCACATTCCCGGAAATGTACGAGTTCCGATTACTTTCAAACAATTGTAATAGAGTCTACTTACCTTCAGATTGTTTTTTGAACGAGTGTTGTTCAAAAGTCATTGATCCAATCTTGAAAATCGAGCTTAGCCCAATTAAAGGTCAGTCACCTTGTTGACCGTGACAGCCAAGCCATAGATTAACACATGGTATTCATCCATGGCCAAGCACATCGGTCATCAGAAATATATCATACGAAACAATTTTAATTTAGCAAGTTATGCCACTGCAAAGATACTTACGGATTTGAAACTGCCGATCCCATACGTGCGGGAACGATTGGTATAAAACGAAAGTTTTTAGCAATGAATAACAGGGGCAAACATCAACTGACAAATCCAACTACTTGTTTGTCTCTGTTCATAAACGATGGTGGCCGAAGAAGTTTCATGTTGTAATTATTACTCTGTACCATATTTGATATTTAAAACTATAATATACTAAGCAAAGCAATGCTTTAAATGATTTCAGGAAATATAAAGAAATGAATAATGCAGTTAATAAAAAGTTATATTTATATTTCAGGAACAACTTGAAACTAAAATTTAAATGAAAAATGTAAATATTCTACAATTTATTAAGAATTTAATTAGGGCATTAGGCATTATGGAATAAAAACACATTTTTTTTAAATATATGCACATTTATTGAGCTCATGGAAACAATAATTATGGTAACAAATCACACAGAAAAACAATTACATCTGTGCCTCGTACATATCAGACAATTCTCTTCATTCCTAGTTTACACATTGGAATGTAAAATAACTGGACAAGTCAGCCATCAAACACAACACTGAAGAGCAACACCCACACATTTACACTATTTCATACAGTGCCTGGTGCTTTTTAACTCTGTACAGCCAATATAATTTGTTTTTACAGCATATATTTACAAATAAATTTATACTTTGTATATGATATTTAAATAAAAACGCATAACTACAATAATTGTTACTATACATGACAAAAGTATTTTCTATAATGACATTGGTGTTTACATATATTCATGTACTATTTAAAAATCTATACAAATCAGGTACTGAAAATAATTTATTACATTTCTTTCCCTTCTTTTTTAGAAAAATAAGCACCAAGAGATCTTGTGCAGCAAATCTTTGGTTTATATGAGCTGCACAAACAACTCTCCAGGCTCACAGCAGCTCATATACTCAGGTTACGTCAAAATGAGGCAAAGATATTCCACAGATAGAATATTAGAAACAATTCTACAAGTGCTTCACGATAGCAATAGATATAATTGTAGCAGTAAAACATTACAACAGATACTAATGGAACATCTTGAAATAACACTACTGACTCACAGTACAACCAAAGGACCCTGGATTACAGTCCTGCTGATGTGATCAGCAACAATACTTGGTGCATTTCTTCTTCAATAATTATATTATGGAAATATAAAATGTATATGTTTATACAAGCCAAGCTAAAAATACACTTGGAAAAAAATAACTTATAATGAGTCTTGAGTTTGACTTGCGTGCATGACCTTTTGCTGGAGATACAAAAATAGCAAAATAGAAATTTCTTACCACTTGCCAGTTCATTAATATAACATCAAGTGGCTTCAATTGGCCATGCCAGGTAAACTTTATTGGTGTTCTTCATGTGGTCCCCAGCACATAAGACATCATAAAGCTCCATTAGCAGCCTGAACATATTAACAAGAGACATATGTGATAGACTTTTCTTCCTTTCAAATTTTATTTTAACTCACTTTGACATTCAACACTTCAGTTTTATTCTGAACTTGGCAATATTTTCTATTCATTGGCTCTTGTTAAAATACCAAGTCAAGCTCATTTTCCCCTAATTACATGAACACACAATAATACATACATTTTATTCTTATGGGGATAAACCACTTACAGTTCAGCAAACCACAGCCTTCTAAATTTCAGATTCCCAAGTGTATGCACTGACAGCACGTAGGCTTCCTCATCAGAGCAGTCTGTTGGGTTGAAAATGGCACGGTATCTATAGGATACATATACGGTGGTTGACCTTAGTACTGTTTGCAGTGGCATATGACTATGGACAAATGTGGACGAAGGAACTTTTAGAATTATTACTCTGGTCTTGGACCTACATATTACTCACAAAATACAGGTTTCTGACACATCCAGTTCTTAAAAACCAATCCAATTGCTTAAAAAATAGCTTCATATGATATGTCTGAATCTCAGTTAATTATGTTCAGTTCAATTTTCTGAGGAAAAGCTTCAAACTGCAAGCACTTGCCAAATGAAGCACACGGTGCCAGCTGCTTAAGCATTCGGTTCCCAGCTCTCCCTCAAGGGTACAGAGCAAATAAATTAGCAATGAAACATTAGATTTCTGTCTTTTGAGAAGACTGAGCATTTGCGTCCTCAACATCAGCTAGGCCCAATGGCACAGCTGTTGAAAGTGGGTTTCCAGGCCATGGAACACCAATGAAATAAGTACAATTAGGAACAGAAACATTCATAACACCCAGGGGAATTCCTGAGACAGCATACTAAATGAAAACAATACCATGCTCAATGTACAAGCATAATCACTTCTTTCAGCAAATTACATAATCGCTAGCTACACTCACTCACCACTTGAGGCAAAGCGCATACTTTGTTGGAACAACTACATCACATTTAGTTATTTCATCCTAATTTGAATCTCGTCTTTCAACTCACGAGAAACTCTATAAGGATGTACACTTATCTTTGATGTTGCTCATTGCCATAATACAACACCTACAACACCTGAGACATTACTTGGTAATATGGGTGCTACTGATGAATCAACAGTTCAGCAACTGCAAAGGATCAGTAACTGGCCTCTTTTGATAACATCTAATACAGAAATAATTAATCCCAATATTCTCGTAGACTGTGTGCTCTTTGCAGCCTATGGGAAAGTGGATGCAGAGTTTTTGGTAGAGGCACTTATAAGATGCAGGTTTTTCCTGCTGATTACAAGGAATTTCTATATATGGAATGATTCTGCAAAAATTATCATATTTGTAATTGTAAAACTTTATAAGTTTATATATGGAATGGCAGATAGCTTACAAGAGCACAGCCCTATAGTCAGTCAAAACATTCATTACGTTGCTTTTTCACGAATAACTGGAGAGTTCAAGGAGAAATATGCACTGAGATTTCTTGTTTGGTGGGTCAATTTACTTTTAGTTCTTGTTTAGAGCACTGCTCTTTTCATAGAGTTCTTCACTAAAATGTAGAAATAATAAGATCTTCTCATTTTGGCCTCTCATTATTCATCACTACTTGTGGCGGGTCCAATGTTGAAAATGATGTCCAAGACTCCGTCAGGGTAGAAATTCAACATAATTCTCAGGAACAAGGCCGGTTTTGCCATTCAATGTTCCCTCCAGCCATCCGGGCTCCATGGATGATCGAACTGTAACAAATATGTATTTTCAGAAACAAAAATCATTTCCATAACATCTAATTTTGAGCAATTATTTGTGTTGTGCTAATAATATAACGTGGACCTAAATTAATTGGGATTTTTGACAATCACATTAAGAATACAGTATGTACTAATTATTCTATACTATAACTTTTGAATAATTCAAATACACTGAACAGAAGTAGAGAGAAAATATTACAATGTTTTAGTATCATAGAAGATTGTTTAAAAGTGACAATAAAAAAAAGTTAAAAATGAAATGATTTATAGCAAATCAATCTCAAGAGAAAGTAATTATGTAATAACATTACCATTCAACACAAATAACTAAATAAAACCATTAACAAACAAATATATAAATATAAATAAGTATATAAATATAATATATAGGTAGTACATTATACATACCATTAGTGATGATCTGATTTGGTTCAAATGATAATTCTCCATCATTCTCTCCAAGGCAAGCATAGAGTGTTCGCACCCTCCTGGTTTTTTAAGAGAGAAAAATACTATAGTATCAATATATACATATTTTATATCTTGAAAAACATATTCACTGCAAAATTTTATTAGTGAAAAGGGAATGGTATAACATATTTCTGGTATAAATAGAAAAATAAACTATTTTACTTTTCCTATTTTGTTTCATCTTGTGTTCTAAATATTTAATGAGCATAAGAAGACTTTTTTCTATCATATTCTAATTTATGAAATATCAATCCTTGATAAATTGAGAATCAATGAAAACAAGGAAAAACTATAGCCCAAATTAAATAGAGTGACTAACAGCAGATCATCAGCTGTGTCATGAGTATCCAATTCAGAGCTTCAAAACCAAAAACTTAAGTCGTAAGCTCCTGATTGACTAACCACATCCAGCCCATGATAGGCCCAAGTCACACTAAATCTGACAATAAGCTTCTGGTAAAATTGAATATTAAAAATCGAAACTTACATACATGATTATTAAAATTATTTAAAAATTATTTTATAATAACAACAGTGTTGGAGTACCTATGAGTAAAGTAAATCAACAGTTTAAAATACAATGATTCCCAATTATTTTATCAAAAGGATTTTAAACATTTTTTATTATAAAAAATATGACCATAGAAACTCAAATTTCACTACTTTACAAACGTAAGTGAAAACGTTAGTACTATCTCTCTCATTCTTTAGAATTCTCATTTTTCTGCAAGAAATTCACAATGAAGAATAACATGAAGGGGGCAAAAATAGTATTTGTGAACATTTATGTATCAAGGGAGAAGACCAATCATTAAAATAAGGACAGCAACTGCATGCTAAAGAAAAGCAAAATTAAGTGATGATATACCCAATTATATTTTGAAATATATTCTACAACAGTAAAGGAATCCACATTTTGACCATGTTACAGAGTAACAAATGTATTTTAATACGTAAATTTGTTCAAAGGATTGTCACCCTGATTAGGATTGAGATTCCTTTATTATTGCGGAAGATATTTACGAGCATAATTGTGTCCAAAAAAGGTGACAAGGTGGTGACAATTATTAAAATCATAAACGGGCAATATATCATGCCTATGAAAATGTTCAAAGAATTGGTCATCTTGGTAGCTTAGTGGTTAGAGAAACCAGGAGACACTGGTTCATACCCCGGTTGGGGTGAGAAAACTTTGAACAAATTGAATTATTGAATTATGAAGTGTTAAACACCATGCAAATAAACAATTTCTACCTGAAGATCCACACTGAATGCGAGTTTCATAAATGTGGTTAAAAACCTACAGAATCAACATGAAATTCAGAACAGCGACTTTTAAAAACAACACTAATAATAATAATAATAATAATAATAATAATAATAATAATAATAATAATAATAATAATGATAATAATACTTTTTTATTTACCAATTGACTGATATAGTGATCAGTTTCAAGCATCATTAAGAGTGATAACTTAAAAATGATATAAAACAAAACATAACACTTAATATACAATTCATAGGAGACTATGAGAAAAATATAAAATGTATAAGACACATACATACTGGCAAATGTATAAAACTAACACATTTTCAATACCATTAGTCCTTTTAATTTATAGGGGTATATTCCATTAAATACTTTTGCAACAAGTCATAGAATTTCTTTCCTTCACATACATCTTTCATGTTTTTAGGAAGTTTATTATATAAAAATATGGCTCTGTGTTGGGGGATTTTATTTGTTGAGGCTCTAGATGTAAATATCTTATGGTAGTTCTCTTTGCCTCTACTATTATAACTATGCAATTCACTATTACAAATGAAGTTTGAGCTGGATTTCATTCTTAAGAAAGTAATAATTTTGTAGGGATAAAGAGCAATTACAGTCAATATGTTCTGTGTGGTGTTGTGGTGTGGTGTAGTAATTCTTATGTGAATGTGAAGGTTTTAGTCACTAGCGTAAGTTCAACAAAGGAGGCCCTTGGACCATGGACAAATTCAATAAGGGAGCCCCTAATGAAAGGCATGTCATTAATTAAATTTTGTGATTAATAGCTAAATTTTTGGAGTTTATGTTTAGGAGAAAACTTTTATTACAATACACAATTAGACAAAATAAATTATTATCATTGCAATTCCATAATATCATTTAAAATTTTAATTTTGGTATTTTTTTGCATTTACTAATTTATTACCAAGAATAGAAATATTATTTTTCAACCACATCGGATTTTGTGCTCAATGGATAAAATTCATAAATTACTCAGATGGTCTTGTGCCATTTCACTTTGTAAATTTTTAATTGTAATGTGTTATTTCTGGAGTTTTATCAGACTGCGAATTCATAGAACACGGAACACAATGGATCATCCTTTTAATTTAATATTCACTTTTTTATGATTTTCACTCATTTTTAAATATATATTTAAACATTCGTTGTTGGCTCATCAAGGACACAGCTTTCATTGAAATTATTACAAGCGATTGCTGCAAGAGGTCCCGTTATTTAAGCAATAGTAACTAGGCATATATTCAATACCTTGTTAAAGTAACACTCATCAAATAATTTGTTTACTTGATTACAACTTTTTTGTTGGTGAGAATTGCTTATTTAACACTGAAATTTACTTTTATTTAGGGATCCTTAGACATGGTTCTGACAGTCCCTACTGAACTTACACCATTGGTTTTAGTTTGAAAATGTATCTAATCATAATTCTGTTCATGTTTAGAATGGTTGTACTGAACCATAATATATTGTTTAGGTGTATTTCTTATCATATATTTCCTAAAATATGTTAATAAGAAGATATTAGAGCTTATTTTATTACTTATTTCATTTATGTGTTTATTGAAAGTTAGACTTTCATCAATATATATTCCAATAAATTTATGGTATTCAATTTGTTTTATGGTTTCATTTTTTCCTCAACACCAGTATTTTTATTTGAGATCTTAGAGTATAATTAATTAAAGTACAATACATATGTTTTTTCAGTATTTAAGATTAAATTATTCATGTCTAAGTTGCAAGATGTTCATTGATTCTGTCATTTTTTTATGTAGTGTAATTAAGCCTTTGGCATAATAAGCATATGATATTAATTTATAATCTCTAGTCTTTAGAAAATCATTTACATATAATAGAAAAAGTAGAGGGCCACGAACAGACCCTTGTGGAACACCTGAAATTACTGTATCAAACTTTGACTGTATTTTATCATGTGAATGTTCAGTTTCCCAAAAATGTGGTACACTGCTTACAATTTATTAAGTCAGATATAAAGAGTTTATTTATACTTTCTCTCAGCTTCAAACACTCCATTTTTTTGAAGAAGTACGCTGCGGGGAAAAGCAAAAGCCTATGATAGATCTACAAAAATACTTGCTGTGTGAAAGTTATTTTCATGCAGATAAAATACTTAATTTATAAAATCATATACTGCAGTGACAATTGACATTTTCTGAATCCATGTTGTTATTTTACAAAAACATTGTTACATTCTAAAAAGTTATAAATTTTTTTCACGTAACTCTTTTAGAAAGTTTAGCAAAACTTGATTTGTGATGGTTTAATAATTATTTATATGAATTGCATTTCCTTTTTTAAAGAGGGGTATCGCTATAATAATTTTTAGAATATTTGGGAATATACCATCGATTACTGAACTGTTTATTAGATGCTCTAGTATTTCCAGTAAACCACATTTACATAATCCAGTATTAAAGATGACACTTCATCCCACCCAGAAGATTTGCTATGATTAAAAGCGCAAATTAGTTGATTGATCTCTCTAGTGTCAGTAGGCTTTACAACCATAGTATTTGTAATTGTGGTTTTTAGAGTCCATTATGTAGTCTGATTTTTAACATGCTCTACATTTATAAAAAAATTATTAAAGGCAGAACTAGCTTCCTGGGTCTCATTTATTATTTCACCTTCTTGAAACAGTAGTATGTTTGGAAATTTGTTTTGTTGTCTTATTTTTATTTACTACGTCACACATCATTCTGAATTTATTTGTTGTATTATTTAGTTTCTTATGAGCAAATTATTTTGTTTTTTGTTGTTTTTGTACTGTATTGTAAAGCATTCTAATCCAGTATCATTATAAAAGTGAATAATATACTTTCATATTTTCTCTAAGTTTAGTCACTTCCATGGGGAGTTTGTTTTTATAATTACCATTAATTTGATTTATCTTTCTCCTAGTTACTGGACACGAAGTATTTCGATGATTATTAAACAGTTGAATAAATAATTCCCATTTTTTGTTAGAATTTTGTTCAGAATATTCTTCTGTCCATTTTTCATTTTGAATTAATACTATTAATTGACACAAGTTAGTTACTCAAGTATCTCTTACATAGCAAAATTTAGTTTTCTCAGTTATATAATTGAAATTATGTATTTTTATGATCTATCCAGTGTAATAAGGGATAGGTGAAAATTTTCATTGTGCACTGTATACTGATTTTCATTGGTGTTAGTTATGATGTGATCATTGAAATGATAAGTGATTCTAGTGGGTCCAAGTATTATATTGCATAGATTAAAACCTTTTATTAGGTCATTAAGAATTTCATTCACCCTATCAATATTTATTTCTCCTAATAGCACTAGTTTACCCTTGCGCTTACTGATCATCACTAGTAATTCTTCAAGTTTCACTATGAAATCATTAATATCATGTCCCTGTGATCGATAAATTTCCAGTATTTTAATATTTTCTTTCTGATAATACTTTAATACCTGTAACTTCAAATAACATTTCTACTCTATGCTTTTAAATTCTTCACATATTACACCCCCTTTTGAGGAATGAACTTTACTATCACTGGTTTTTAGAAAAATTAAACTTATTAATTCTATAATAGGAAGAAGTATACAAGCTAACAAAAAAAATACAAAAATATTTGTGATATGAATGAATGGTTCAGAAATTAAATAGAGGATGGGACCAAGAAAAGACACTACAAGATTCAGTTTTGGAGACAAAAAATGAGAAATTAAACATCTTAAGTATCTAAATTGTTTAAAACCAATAACAATCAAAAGACTGATGGAAATGCTGTGGAATACAGAACCATAATGGATGTATTATGACATTGCATTAATCCAGTTGATTTCAAATTTTTTCTGCCACGACTCCCTTCAGGTAACAAATTCAGGACATGCCTCTCATCATTAAATTTGAATTGTTAATAACTAAATATTTTTTTGTTGAAAGTAAGGCCATTATGTATTATTTTGTACTCTATACTTACAGTGTACAAAATACTTATTGCAAGTGATTTGCACTATTCACTGCTATACTAAATGAATATAATTAATGTTTGATAAAGTAAGAAAACTAGAAAAAACAAAGACATTGATAGTTCAGAAAAGTCAGTGAGATGGATGGACTTGTTTGGTGTCACACAGTTCATCAAATTCCAGCACTAACTTTAAAATGGCAATATGCTTCTCATTCTGGAGATTTATTCTAAATATATATTTTATCTTGATCATCATCATCATGGCTGAAATTCCTGTTAGATATAGGTAAGAAGTGCCAAAGGAAGCAGAACAAGCAAGCCCTCTTACTTAACTCCAGACACTCATACCTTATGGAGCATCAAAATTCAGATAATGCTGTAGTTTGATACACTGTGTTTAGTGTATTGTCTGACAAAAGAAATAACCAGAGCATTAATAAGCATTAAAGTACTATTTTATTCAATTATTGTGTTCTCACGCCTCCCTCTGAAACTTTAGCACCTCCCTGGGGAGGTACACCTTGCAGTTTAAATAACACTATAATTATTTATTATGCTTCCTCTATGAGAGTAGATACATCATTCTGGGCTCAAAAAATGCATTTTTTTTTTATTACCATATTGAAAAATTATATGTACATTTATCTCTATGTTCACAGAAGATTCTTGTCTATTACAGGAATTGGTTTCAAATTAAGAAGGAAAACCTTCACTTCCGCCTCGGTAAAATCCATTACATTCTCAATGGACACATTCCTTTAGACTCCCTTTACTCAAACTATTATTAAAATATTATTAAAATGGCTTCATAGTTTAACTCTAAACATACTTACTACATTGATTACTTATTTATGAGTTTTTTATTATAAAAAAATTAATAATTTATGAATTTCAATAATTTATGTAGGATAAAAACCCTTAGAGTAATTTTGTTTGTTGAATTCTTGTTTACCCTGCAGTTCCAAAGTAAGGAAACAAACAAAATGATTTTATTTATTAAATAATAAGTAGCAACATTTTTGGAGGAATCTGGTTCAAACTAAAAATTTGGATATATTCAATCTTTTTCTTTCCTTTTAAAATAAAACTTTCCATTCTTCGAAAAACACTGAAATGCATATGCAAAAGTATTCTTATTTTGGATAATAAGGAATTTAAACAATCATCAAAATTTCCTACATAGTAACTGCGTCTATCGCCTTAAAAGACATTAATTTTGAAATGAAAAACAACAATTTGATACAATGAAATTCTTAAATTAAACTTACTTGCAAAAATGTTTAAAAAATTGATGTTTTAATAAGTTACAAATTTAACACAATAAATGTAAATATCAGTTAATCCATAAAATATTTTGACATTCTTACAAGTTAAAAATGAACTTATATATGTTGACAAGCAAATGATTTTACCATCGTCACATGAGAATTATAAATGTGAAGAGGGCCTACAAAAATATTAGGGATCAAAAACAATTTCAAGATTTGTAAATTAAAAGAGGGATAAAATATTGTTAAAAATATTTGCATTACTTGCAATTTACAATTTTAATATAATATAAATTTCATTAGTAATATTAAACCCATAATTTTATTGCATGATTCATACATCATTATTTATGAACAATAGTCTATTTTAATCACAAACATAAAATTTTAAAAACTCAAAAATAAATAAAGGAACACATTCACTCCACACAGACAGTAAATATTACATCTATTATAATGTAAATAACAACAAAAGAGCCAACTATTAACCCTCCAGTGATACCAAAACTTCTCAAAAACAAATTTCATAATCTATACCTGGTTGAATTTCAAATTATGATTAAATGATTATCAAGTCACGATGAAAAATAACAAAAGCAAAGCAAAGTAACCGCACAATAATGACCACCAATTGTACGATGAAATTCACAAAAAGTATATTATTTCCTTTAATCATCTCGTGGATTATCAACTGGTTCATATAGATTATCAGCACAACAAATAGGTTTTTTCAATCCAGAATCAGTAACATCCGTAATCACTTCACTGAAAATATGCTTCTGAATAGTAGTATTTGATTTATTATTTGATGCATGGAGATTGTTACAATATTGAACAGTAGCATTATTTAAGAACACTCCAATATCATCATAAATGTCTTCATCGTAAGTAAGTTTTGATGTCATATCTTTTTCAAATGCACTCTTCACTTTCTGATCATTCACATTGTAATAAAATTCTGGATGAACAGGGCAAATATCATCATAAACTAACTCAGTGCCATTATCTGACAATTTTAGTGAGACATTAAACTTCTCTGTAGCAGTAACACTTGAGACAATCTGCTCTTCATTTACAAGACCAAGATCCTTAATATTGTAATAGTTTTCTTCATTATATTCTTTGATTTTCTCTCTTCTGTCATAATCATTTCCTTGAATATCATCATATTCATCCAGGTCTTTCAAATCTGATGGGCTTGTAGAGATTTTATTTGAATTTGATGCATGATTCTTAGGAGAATAATCATAGTCTTGGGTTTCATTTCCTTGGGCAGTGGCTTCATTGATGCAATTTATCCATTGTTCCATTTCATGATGGTTGCTAGCCATGAACTGGTGTGATTTCTTTCCAGGACAAACAATTTCAAAGAAGAAGAATCTTTTCTTTGAATCCTTTGAAGAATAAACAACAGCTGGACGAGCTTCAAATCCTTGTATATTGATGAATGTTGCTGGTTTTACATCTTTGTCACTATTATATACATATAAATAATGCCCAAGAAGCCCTATGTAGCAACGTATAGACCGTTCTGCAAAAAATCCCATGAACCTTTCCTTCCGTGATAAAGTACCAAATTTTTTCCCCACCATCCGCAGTTTAGAAGCAGGTAAAATTAAATGTTCTATGCTTATGCTAAGAAGACTTTCTTGTGGTTCTGAATTATTAAACATCTGAGAGTCCGAAAATTCTTCATAAAGTTTACAGTCAACATTTTTACCATGGCTTGTATCCACAGCAACATAATCTCCTGATTGTGCATGCTTTATGGACCCACTCATATCAGTATATACATCAACAGGTTCTAACAAAGAAGACAATCTTTGCACCAACTGGTCATATTCAGCCTTCGCCTTTGTTGAAAGATGTTCATTTCTCAAAGTAGCAAACAAGAAACCACTGATATCTTGAAGAATATTGTTCACGTCATTACTTTTCATATCCATACTTCAGTTCGTGGGCGCAACTCACTTTAAAACTGACTCGAGGCCTAGCGGCCGTGTCCAGAGTGTTATTATGATCGTATCTGCGCCGTCACCACCGACGGGCAAGGTGCAGGAGGTAATATCGTCGAACCTCCCGCCGAGCGGGACTATTTTTATCGTCTAGCGACTGCTAACTCCTCGACTCCAGCTCGCAGTCAAGGCAGGCCTTTAAAAACAGTTAAAACGCACGGCACCTCGGCGAAAGGTTTGTTAAACATTCAATGGCAAAGTTAAAACCCACGGCACCTCGGCCAAAGGTTTGTTAAACATTAAATGGCAAAGTCATGACCAGCGTTCATGAGCAGGGGCGGCGGGGAGAGAGTCGGAAAGGACGACGATCGTATAATGTTCTAAGCAGTCCCGACATTGTGAAGCATTTACCTATCCCAGATTTAACAAATATTTCACGATTTGCCCCAAATAAATAATTATTCTTTTTCAAGGGTTTTTAAGGTTTTTTGTTGTCTTGTTTGCTTTGCTTCTTGGTGTACGCATATCACCAGTACGAGAACTAAATAGATAATGATGATATTGCATTGGCTTAAACCCTTTCATCTCTTCATCCAAAATTATTTACAGTACTTTTCACAAGAACTAGCAAGTGGAAATAATAATACACAAAAAGCAAAAATCTAGAACTAATACCAAAAAAATTGCAATTCTACTAGCTTGCATAAAGTTAATTGAAACAAGGAAGTACATAACACAAAAACTGTTCATTTTCATTAAAATTTGTGCATCTTGAAATTTTCAGCAAAAAATAAGTGGGTTTTTGTTTTTCTTTAATATATCAAATGTGATAAACATGTCACAAACGACTATAAAATAAGTTCCTGCATATATCTCAATAAATATACAAAAAACTTCCACATACATGCAAATAAGAACTGCCATGCTGAATGACAAGAAGACTATATATTTCAAAAGCAACCAACATGCTGGGTTAAAACCTCACCTGACACCAGGAGTAGCAGGACTAGAGCGCCCACTAGCAGTAGAACTAGAGGATGGGGTTGGAGTCATCCTGTAGCCATGAAATGCACAAACTATCACCAACTGCTACCTAATCCACCACCCCAGAGAAAACGATCACTCTTGCATCTTATTAGTCGTCAAAAATGCAGAATGCAATCACCTTTCCAAATAATGAATACTTACTAATGAATTTATACACCTAACATGATCCCTAAATTTGAACTTACACAAGACAACTCAGAATCTTTAGAAGGTGTAAAAGGTACCTACATTTAAATTTAAAAAAATAAAGAAATATTGTATCACTCATTAACAAGAAAGGAAAAATTCAAACTAGATTGTAACTCATTGCATGGTATGTGTGTGTGCATATATGCATCACATGCATGTGTTGTGTGTAAGAGGGGGAGAGGGTAAAGGGAAGGAGAGGGAGAGAGTAAAAGCATGCATGTATAAAAATCACATTCCAAAACACTTATTGATACAATTTTTTTTTTTAAGAAAACAGCTTTTTTACAACTTTATAAGTTACAAATTTTAATATTTTCATCTGAATAATATAGGTTGATGCTACCAAAATGCCATCCAACAACAAAAATTAAGAATAATACTTACAAAATTGAATATTTACTGGACAATAATTTTTAAAAGTACCAATTGCAAGTGCTGTAAAATTTACCATACAATCGAAATACATTAATAATTTTTTTTTCTTTCTTTGTTACGTTTTCATAAATTTCAAAATAATAACTTTAGACGTATACTACCATGTTGCTCACTTACTAATAAAACTTTCCATTTTGATATGTGACTTACAAAACTATTTGGACATTTATTAATATAACCAAAAATTGGTTAAATTTTGTACAGAAAACCACATCATTAGTTAGCACCTAAATTTGAAAAAATAAAATGTTTTTTATTTATGTAAACGATATAAATACTTTCAAAATTATGTATTTGATTAAAAGAAACATGTATCACAGAAGCAGAGACTTTGCTTCATCTATTTGGACAGCTGTCGTGGCAACGTTGTAACGGATCTTTTGATCTCTGAAAATAATATTGAAACCTTTAATCCTTGCTGCACATTTAACGCATCTATCAGTCAATGAGCCAGATTGGGTTAATGAAGCCAAATGCACTTAATGAAGAAAAGCACAGTGACTACATAATCTCATCATACACTAATGAAGATAGGATTGAGCTGCATCATGGAGGAGGACAAAAGACATTTTCTTTTTGAGAAGAGAATCACATTGTGAGAATGGTAACGAAGAACCCTTGTATTAGTGCTACAAAAATTACTACACATTTAAAAATTGGCATTGGCAAGAAATTAAATCTCGAAACTGTGCATAGGATACTAAGGAGGTCAAATTTCCTTAACTGTTTTACCAGAAGAAAGCCATTTATAAGTAAAGCAAACTAAAGGAAAAGGCATCTGCTTGCTAAAGAATAAGCAGAAAGAGATGAAGGCTGGTGGAATAGAGTAATGCTGATGAATGGAAATTTAACATCTGTGGCCCAATAGAAGAATTTGGGTGTGGAGGAGACCAAATGAAGACCTGATAGAAGGAAACATGCAAGCAACCATGAAGCATGGAGGAGGAAATGTGGAATGGCATGGGCTGCATATCAGCCAATGGCGTCGATGAATTTGTGTTCGTAGAGCAAATGATGAACAAGTTCAACTATCTCGACACTCTTAAACAAAATTTAAAACAAAGTGTTGAAAATATTGGTATTCTTGATATATCTTATTTTTATTAAGAATAATGATCCCAAGCACAAGTTAGAGGGTGTTTAACTTTGGCTTCAGTACAAATGCTCAAAGGTACTTCATCCACCCCCTCAGTCACCAGACTTAGTGTTATTGAACATCTTTGGGGGAAAATGGAAAAGGAGATAAGAAAACACCCAATTCATTCCAGAAAAGAATTAAAGCAAATAATGCATCAAGAATAGAGAAAAACGTATCCTTCTTATATCCAAAAATTTGAACAAAGTGTGCCAAATATGCCGAAGAATGTGCTGTGGTGAAAGGGAATGGCTACAAGATATTGAACTCTCTTACTGTGTTATTTTTTACGTGCTTCTCTGTTTGAATATTATGTACTGTGCATTTTTGTTTATATTTCCATTCAAGAGTCTGAATATTTTTGAAGTAACTTTCCAGCATAAAAAATTCAAAATTAAAAATATCAGTTTACTGTGATTTTAAAGAAATTTTTGTAAATATGTTATACCTGCTTATGAAAGTGATTGTATAATATCATTTATTACATTTTTTTCTTCTTTTAATATTCTTAACACATTAGTATTCACCTAAATTCCGTATGTCCAAAAAGTTTTGTGAGTCACTGTACTTGACCTATTTGGCCTAACTGTATTTAATTATTTTATGAAAGCCTAAAATAATTTACTTACCATTTTAAAATTAATTTATTTGAGATTAGGATATACTCTCATCATCCCTAAGATAATAGATATGAATGAATGAAACTTTCTTTAGAATGACCAATGATCAGGTTTTTCCCTCCCTCCTTCTTCTCCTTTCTTTAAATGACATGACTCTTATTTTATTAAGTTTTTTTTATCAGTAAGAAAGTTTTTAAAATTTAATTAGAAAGCAAGCATTTCAAAGTATCAGAATTTAAAAGATAGTAAATTGGCCTGCAATAATTTCAAATATGGATACATATTTATTCCTTCAAATGAGGTTGAAACAATGTTCAAAGGTAACAAAATGAAATTAGTATACAAAATAATTTAATTTATCAAAATAATTTAAATATTCATTTATAATTAAATTAAATAAAGATAAGATATAATTAATTTTAATAAAGAGAATATATAATTAATTTTCATAAAGAGAAAAATGCAAAATGAGAAATAAGGAATAAAACCTGTATGTGTACTTGTGTCCATCTCTGCATTGTACCCATTGAGTTCCATCACTGGTGGAAAATTCAATGTGACTTATTCAACAGGTGAAGACCTGACCACTTTTTTTTAATCCTACCTGGACATTCTAAGAAAATTCACCCCTCCGCTCAAAAAACAAAACAACTTGAGAGCCTTTCCAGCATATCATGAATCATTACAACTCAGGATGACTGAGGATGGACAAGCAAGGCACCTGTTTTACATTTAAAATTCTTTTTGTTATGCTCTTGCCTAGCCAAATACATTTTTTCAACACGAATATTCCACCAATGGTGCCATGCTAAGCGAGTATTTAAATAATTCATGAGCAAGACAGTGTTGAAAGATTATTATAACAGTAAACACTGCTATTTTACTGAGAGTTTTTAAGAAAGTAACAGAATCTGGATTTTGGCTAAACCCTTGTTAGTTGATGTTCAAATAATTTCAGAAAAATGGATCATCAGAAATTTGATATTTTCAGTAGCAATGATTTTTACTAAACATGCTCCACTTCGATATTTACTAAATTATGTATTAATTATTTATTATTACTCAATTTCATATTACTACCAATTGAGATCCATAAAAATAAGCTTGAAATATGAGTATTAAGTAAATCAAAAATACAAAACCAAAAACATGCTGGAAACAAAAACTCTAGTATCATAGAGAGGAAAATACAAATGTATACTCACGCATCATGGAAAGGACGATAACTTTTTGCATAATGGCTTTCCATTTGACCTGCAAGAAAACATGTTTTATTCACAACAACTGATGAATTTTCAAAGAATTCATGAATTATTTTTTTCTTTAATTATCAGATATGAATAATTATGAGAAAAAATCATTTAACAAAATAAATAATAAGCCTTTTCACAATGCCCCCAAACAAATATAATAAAAATTGGAAACTTTACTAAGGAAAATCATTAACAAAACATGAAACCTACAAATAAATATGGAGGGTAGATCTCTCAATATAAAATACTTTCATACATAAAAATCTCCATTAACTAATTAGTTTGGTGCATTTTCCTGACAATGAATTTCAATTCAAAAAACATGATCAATATAAAGATAATGAAAATGATCCTTTCTAACAAGAAAAGTACAAAAATCTTACCTCCTCTATATTTCTGAGGTGAAATAATAGGTGCATAACCTGTATGGTTTCCCAAGTCACGGGGCGAAGAAGATACTGATTCATTTGAGCTGCTATTACTCTGTGACTGGTCAGCTCGATCAGTACTCACTGCAAGACAATTCCATTTTCAATATCGTATGCTTGTTATGAACTAAGAATATAAATACTTCATATGTGTCTAAATAAAATATAATGATGCATAATGGTCACTAATACGAAAAGTACATTTTGTCATTGAAACGTCAATCACTTTCACTTTCTCATCTTAAGAAGAAAAAGTAATGTAATGCTGAAGGAAAAGTGTTGAATTTTAGCAGAAAAACTCTTATTGCCACACCCTAGTAACAAAAAAGTGGATAAATCCACTTGATATATTTAGAAACAAATCCTCTAACATGTGGTGAAGCCAGAATCCATGCTTTATGGGTCCTAGATATGGAAAAATTGATTGACGGCAAAATGTCCATTCATGAACAAAGCTACCAGCAAAACCATTCTGCTGATTCACCCCAAAATGATATTCCTAATCAATCTGACCTATGCGGCCCTTGAATTTGAAATAGATATTTTAATTTTGGGGAGTACTTTGAAGAAAGTCCTGGGAACATTTTCAAAAATTGGCTCTAAATTTTTTGATTAAATTTTGTTGTTGGGTAGTGCAAAGGATATTTAAGAGAATGGTGTAGGTCTATTGTTCATTGAAATCTCTAATTTTTAGAAAATTGAAAAAAATTCAGCCTGCAACTTCGTAAAGAGACAATTTTTTTATAATAAAATGTATTCATCAAAAACATCTTCAAATTAGGCCATGTTGAATTTTTCGAAAATATGAGTGTAATTCATGGATGACCCTTTCGAGGAAGTGATGTACTACATACAGAAAAAAGATTCATCTGACGAAAAATCGCTACTTTTTGCTGCTGCATTACAATAGTTTCTCTTTACTATACATAAGAAAGTACAATCCCCAAAAGTAAAAATAACTGCAAATTTTTTCAACAAATTGGGGGACCCCAAAACATATATTTCCGTTGAAATCTTGGAATCGGTTTTCCGCAGCATTACGTAACTTTCTCTATACTATGTTTATTACTCCATATAACATATGTGTATGAGAAAGTAAGAACTGAGTCTCTCTCACACACTCACACTCAAACACATGTGCGCTTTATTTATTAAAATTTGAGTAAACAGACTCATTTGCCTGTAAATTGAATGCTGCTTACCAAACACATTACAGAAAAATTATTTACTAGCCGAAAGACTTTATCTGAATTGCAAGGAAGCAACTTACCATCTCTTCGACTTCCATATAAGAAAGCCATCTTGGAATGATGTGGACTGCCATATATGGGCTGCTGAGACCCCAGGGACAATAGATTACTCTCTGATAGTGTAACAATATTTCCATGAGATATACGACCAGCTAAGGAAGTGGTACTTCCAAGTTTATGATGTGATAAGTTATTAGAATGGTGATCACCCATTCCAACCATTCCACTCGCGCTTCCCAAACCTCCACCTCCACCAATCATTCGTGAAGACCCACCCCCACCTGGGGGAGGGTAACCTGAATGATGATTTGTGCCCCCACCAGATTCTCGATGATCCCCTCTCAGACTTGCTACATTGATCATGCTTGCACTCGAGACTGGCATTGGGCCATCATGGTACGTTTTAATCACAGCCTGAAAAAAATGAGAATTGTCTTCTTTCATGAAAGTTACAGAACACAAAACTATATAGGTAGATATTCAGAAAATGTGTTTTTACAAGTGACCTACAGAATAACAAATAAATTATCAGAGTGTACTATGACTTACATGAGTTATAGGAGGAGGACCAAGAGGATAAGGAGGAGGAAACTTCGGCTGTCGTTCAACAGGTAAGTGATTATGATGAACAACAGACCCATTTCCAGTTATAACAGGTGGTGGTGGGGATGGACGTGTCTCCTGTTGCACTGTCTGTAGAGTGGAAGGTGCCTGTGTTTGAGTTCGAGGCGATATATTTTGAGAACTTGGAGACCGATCATGCCTGGGTGATACACTGGATACTTCAGGGCGGTTTTTAAATATCTAAGAGAGAAAAAAATATTGTTTGAATGCAGTTATAGAAGTAATTTTTTAGAAGTTAATAAATATAATACATGGTATTTCATATTTTAGTATCAAGAAAAATTAAGATTTAGCAATTTTCAGACCCTCAAGCCCTCTCGTTCCTCCATATTACTAAAAAAATGTGTTAACTTCTTTTTATTTGTTTCCTACATACATTTAAAAAGTTTTAAATCCTTATACAAGTGAGAATGACTTTGTAAATACTCAATAATAAAAACAAAAATTAATTAGATAATTTTTGTCAGAAAATTTAAATTATTAGCCACTTACACTTAAAGAATATCACAAAATATGTTTAATTTCAGAAACTTTTAGAGGTGTTCTCACAGAAAATAAATATATTGTGACTTTGCATCTCAAATATAATATGAATATTAGGATTGTTTATTTAAGTGCTATAAAAACACATTTCCTTCAAAATTCCAACACTGTTTTTTTTTCTCAGCCCCCCATTTCAATAAGTTTTCTAAGATAAGAATACAAGCAATGAATTATCTTACCCTGTCGTAATTCATTATGAGTACTTCCACCACAACATTGTAAAACTTGATATCCATAATAGCAGCCACAGTCTCTTCCTCTGGTCTCAACAAAGTTGGTCCAAAACACATACTCAAATTACTAACAGTCATTAAGTTACGCTCACTGTGAGTGCTTACACTGTAACAGACAAATAGGTCATTTGCACTGAAAATAAATTTTTGTTTAGCTCAAAGCCTTATAGAAACTATATTATTTCACTTATATGAATTATTGTATTATCATATTTTGGAAAAAAATGAATAAATATATAATGTTGCACTACAAAATCAGTAGAAAGTATCTATGATTAATGTAAATTAAAAACTGAGTATTAATATAATGTACATTCTTTAGGTTTTTCGAGTCATATAATTAATTTTTGTTCTTCAATGTAATATTCATACTTCTTTAGATGTTTAATGAGGATATCAAGCATCTGGAAGTTGGGCTGCGGTAATCGATGGACCAAGGTATGAACATCTTGAACTCTCATCTTGGATTCCTGCTCTGAAATACACAATCATAGTTGCTTTATTCAAAATTCAACACCAATATCTTTCCACCTCATTCCACATTTCAATTTTACTCACTAGCAGCTGCTATGAAAGCACTGTGATATCGAAAAGTCATCAAAGGTTCTGGTAAATTTCGAAGATACGTCTTTAGAGCACTGGTAATTGTTTTGCTCTCCCATTCATACTGGTCATCCAGTGCTCCTAGAGCTGCCTGAGCTTCAGATTTCCGCCGGTCTAGTCCCATCTGTAGGAGTTTGGTAACTTTTGAACTGAGTCCTACCAGTCTATACAATCCTTGCTCTTCAAGTCCTGAAGGTACAGAAAATGTGCCCTCTTAACAATGGTCAACTAAATTGTCATTGAATTAATGCACTGACAAAATAATTAGTTCATTGAAATTAACGATGTCTTTAATAAACTTCAGTAAGCCAAAACTGAAAATCCAAGTACGGTGAATGTTAATAATATTTTGTCAGTGTCCTCATAATGTATTCTGTTAAGCACCAAATGTATTAACATATACATCTCAATAAATCTTATCACAAAAGTTCACAACTTTGATAATAATTAATCTACCAGCTTCATTATCTTCTATTCTAGGAAACTTATTGAAGGGTTCAAAATCAAGTTCAATATGTGTTTCGACAATAACTTTGCTGTTTTTTTCAGAACATTAACAAATCAAAACCTTGCTGAATTTTAGTTTCAAGATTATATATCTTTTTGTTAATGTCTTAATGAGAACTATTAGAAATAAAAGAAAAAAGAAAGAAAGGAAAAAAGAGACAAAAAACATGTATCTACTTCAAGAATTACTCTCTCTTCCATAAAAATTTTCATGAATTTGGGGATCCTTTTTAAAATAGTTTATTCAATAATAATTTTCATAAAATCAAGGACTTTACCTCTGCTCTCTAAAACTTCAATACATCTTTTCACAAACATAAAACCTATATCATCAAGAGGTCTCTCTTCAGATTTACTATTCACTTTACCAGGTTTAGCATACATCTGTAAATAATAAAATTTTATCAATAAACTTATTGCATACAAATAATTTATTTATTTAAGGTTTAAAATAAGATTTGAAAAATCCTCACCTGAATTTTTCAAAATGAGAGCCAGAGATGGACAAGGAAAAGGAAAAGTGGATCACCTTTTTATATATATGTATTTAACTATCATTGTTATTAGGGCTTAAACTTTTAGGTGCTAAAAATGAATGTTTGTTTTCTTTTTCTTTTTTGGTGCTTATAAAGTGAAAAATGTGTTAAATGACAAAAATATTTATTTATTATCCATGTGAAAATCAGTAACCAAGATTGAAAGATATCTCAAAGAAAAACATGACATCATCCTCTTTTATCACTTTGCACATTTCGTCTGTGCAGTCTGAGGAAGTTTGGCTCATGTTGACATCTAGGCTGTCCGGGTGACGCTGCGTCATTGGCAGATAGGCAGCGTCACCTGGACAGCCTAGAAGTCATGAACTCGAACCGCAGAAGCCTACATGTACAGGGGCTCATGTTATTGGTGTATGTTATCGCTTGGGGTGTCATTGCCTGAATTGATGGAAGATTTAGAAATGGCCCTCAGATTGGCCTTTTGACGGGTCATGAATCCGACTCACAGTAACACATGCTGTGTGATCGACCACTGTGTTCCAAATTAGCAAGCTTTTCAAATTCCAAAAACTCGAATGTATTAAACTTGAAAATACTCAAAATATTCATAAACAATTTAGCAAAATATGTAATAATTTTTGTAAATTATTTATTTAAGTCCAGTTTACAACTGCTCTGATCAAGAGCAACCAAATAATATTTCTTTTGAAACAATATTCATTTTTATGCAACTTAATCAAAATATTTTTTTTAGGCAAAATGTAATTTGGTATATAGAAACAATGGACCGCTACTTGAATTTCCATTAAACTTTTAATGCTCAAGAAGGAGGAAAAACACATTTACCTAAAAGTTTGAGCCATAATCATCAACATGTACTGTAGATAAATGGGCTGTTCTTGTTTTGTATAAGAGCTGGTGATTTGTTTAACTACAAAACTGAAAATACTGTTATGATAAATCAGGTCTCGATTTTTAGGATTATGTAATCTACATTTGAGGCTTGAAAAAGATACATTTTTTAAACATAATTTTTTTCTAACCATTACACTAACAAATTATTATAATGAGTAATAACAAAGGTCATCCAAAATAAATACTTTTATTTTTGGTGTACTGACTTACTAACCCATCACCTGTCTTCCTAACACTTAAACTAGTGTTTCTACATAGTTTCTCGCATTATTAATAATTTTCAAAAATTCTTAAATGTCAACGAAAATGACACCTGCACCTTTTTTTAAGCATCCTTTGCTCTATCCAAAGAAAAAATTAAAAGACAAAACTTGGAGCCACTTTCAAAACAATCTCATATCTAAATTTGCATTTATTTCACCTAATTTTATGTGAAATGCCTCACATTTTGAAAAAAGTGTACATATTCTCATTTAAAAATTCAATTTCGAATTACAGATTTCATTAAGAAAGAAAAAGAAAACAGACCGTTTTTAATATAGTAGTTGCCGGAAGAGGTTGGAGGGGACAAAAGATTTTTAACTTTTGCAATTTTCGAAAATTCTGCGAGTTTAATGAAAATAAGCCTACTTTGTAATATTGAAGAAAGAATTACACCAAAAGTTTGGAATCATTTCCAAGAAAATTTTTAATATGTCACAGTCTTCATGTCAAGATCCACAAAAAATTACAATATTTGTTTCAAATTCGAGGTGCCAAGTCAGTCAGATCGATTGGGAAATATCAAATTGGATGTTTGCAGGTGGCCGAATAGACAGTTATTTTTCTGTAAACCCTTTTTTTGGTGTCAAGAGCCAACAAAATGTGGATTCTGACTACACAATGTGTTGGGGGAAGTTATTTGCTACAGTAAGGAACAAGCATTATCCACTTTTTCAGTATCTGGGACCCAAAAAATTAGTTTCTGTCAGAAAAATTTTTTGTTGTTGAAGCATTACAATACTTTCCCATATACCATGCAAGTATTTTGCAAGAAAGTAAAACAATTCTTTTGATTTTGTCTCTCAATTTTTTAGCAAACCTGATATAAGGAAATACTAAATTAGTACCTTCCACCAAACTCCTCCACATTTAATTTTGGTATTGAAATTAAAACTTAATCAGCATATAAAGCCATTGATATTTCTCCTAACATCTCTTATATTAACCTACCATGCAAAGTATTACTTTCAATCATGTTTATCACAAGGATTCTTATTATCTCATAAATGAAACAAGAATTCCAGAACAAAGTGACAATCAAAGTTATAAACAAAATGACATATATTTTTCTCAGAAATTTCTGGAATAAAAATGAAAGTGAGGGAAGTGGCTATCTCATAAGGAACAAAATGTTAAAAACTAAGGACCTGGGTTTTTTGAGTAATAATATTTATGAAAGTTTACACTCACTGGCTCTTTTCCATCCATTGCATCCATCCACAGTTTTCTATCTTCTTCAGAGAGGGCCTGGAGAGTAAACACTAAACCAGGTTTACCTTCTACAGTGATATCAAAGCAGAATCGCTTTTCTATGGAGTCAGACATACGCCGAACACATGATGTGAGCCGTACCGTTTCTATAGGGTTCTTGAATAAAATGATACAGTCAATTTAGTATCCTTGATATTAGTCCACAAGAGAGTTATACTTTTTACTGAATAACAAAATGCATGAAGGTAATACAGTACGTACATTAGCTTTAGTCTTTAAGTTGGATTGAAATTCAACAAAATCACTGACACTAACAGACAAAAATGTTTCAAGCATGGAAGATAATGTATAGATTTTTCATTAAATTGAAAACAATTCTAAAGTAAATGAACTTCCAATGCAGAAGTGCTAAATATGAATTTAAAAAGTGTTAAAATGTTAAAATCATCTTAATAATTTAAAACAAATAAAAAGAAAGAGAATTAGAATTTTAAAAGCATCACAATTTTAAAATGTGTGCAAAATATTTTATCTAACGGGTTCTACTGAGCAAGATGACACACTATGCATAATGTCCCAAAATAAATGCAATGTAGGGCAGTAGGGGTTGGTCCAAGATGTTCACTTTTTGCCAATGAACATTCAGGAAATATCAACCCACTCAGGAAAGTCCCACATGCGACATGTGCTCCTTATTAGTGGGCAATGCACACTATATTCCCAATTGCTCTCAATCTCATGCAAAACAATAAGATTAATAACTTAATATTGTCCTTGCTAGTGAATGGGTCATCCCTTGAGAGTTTGTTTACCTGCCAACACCAATACAGGATGAGTTGCTTCCAATCTGGGACAAATGTGGATATTAGGGATGTGACATCCCTGTTATGTTTTTAAAATACCTCTTTCTAAACAAATATCAATGTTTTGAACACAAGATACATTAAAACCAATTTTTTTTAACATCAATATTGTGCTCAATGTTTTTATTTTTTTCATGTATGCGAGTTGAAACATTCTATAATAACAATTTTGTAAAAATTACAATATGACAATAACTAATGATGCCAATGTCAGTTCATGAGTTTGAACAAAGCAAATACTTTTATTCTACCTTCAACATGCAAACCATTTCTCCATGGAGAGATGACCCTAATGACCTGGCATTTCCTACACCTTTCCTGGTATTTTAAAACACGGAGAGGCAGTCAACACTTATGAAATAGGCATCAGACCTCCCCCTTCTTGCACCCTTCTATGATGAGCCTCAAGAAGCTCTGACCTCTTGGGATGACCCTGAGCGCTCAGGCTTTTGGGCTAAAGTTTTGTTAATTATTCATGTTAATTTTTAGTTAGTTTTAACAGTTAAAATTTGCTTTCCTATCACATATTCAGTGGCAAATAGTGATCATATTCAAACTCCTGTATACTCTAGAAGTTTGTAACATTTCTTAAGAGACATCCTGTAACTCAACCCAATGCACAGATAAAACTTGACATTCAAGCTCTAAAATACTAATTTTGGCAAGTTTTTTAGTATAAGAGATTACATCCCCACACTTTTAATAGTAACAGAAATAAATTCTTTAAAATGCAACATAAGCACGCTTTATTACCAGTTCACACACCAATGAACTTGAAATTAACTTTAAGATGCATGGAACATTTGAAGAGTGTAGCTGGTTATTAACAAGGGTTAGGTATAGGTAAATTCTTAAGTTGACACTGCTCTTCGACCAGGGAATCAAGGCAGGTTGTTTTCCCAAAACTTGTTTCAGAGCTCAACCACACTAGTTCTATCTTAATACTATATTAATGTTTAAATGACTTTGAATAATGGATGCAACAGAAATGAAAGCAAGGAATTCATTGGGCAAAAAAATATGTAAAAAGTAAAATACAATAAAAATGCCTCCTATAAGAGTTTTCTCATATACTACGTCAGAATTATGAATGTAGTCTTGCTTCATAGTAAACTTGAACTCAAATTACCTTGAATGTCAATCAGCCAAGAAAGGAGGATTATATAGTAATATATATTTTGGTACTTACAAATTTGCCTGTTGTTTGATTGTATGGCAGCATAGAAAATTCTTTTTTGTCTTTGTTGTACATACAATACTGCTTCGTCCATGCTGAACCAAAGGCTTCTGGAATTTAAAAAAAAAATAAAAATATAAAATTAAATAATAATAATAATAATAATAATAATAATAATAATAATAATAATAATAATAATAATATACTTTTTTGATCAATGATAATATTTATATTCTAATGTACAACATTACAATCAAAATTCAAAAGTTGTAATTATTACTATTAAAATATAATATTAAATCTTATATATTTTAGATTGCCATTAGTGGAGCAACTAATTTTAGGAAATGCCATACAAATTATTCTTTTTTTCCCTTTTATTCTCCATACGAGATATTGCCTTGGGTTGTTTTCCTAAAAAATCAATTTCAATGTAAGTACTTACTTTTTTCAAGAAGATAAAGATATCCCTCCCGGGTATATTCACCACTGGGAGGGACAGTTGACATCGCCCTCTGCAAATATTTCAATGCAGTTTAATATAACAACTAACTTTTGATCCCTCATGAAATTCAAAGATAATCTTAAAATAATTGAAAAATATGGTTAATCGTATATCAGCAACATGATACATATAAATTACAAGTTATTACAAATTAACAATACATTATGAGAAATCATCAACAACTTTCACAGTTGTAGTCTGGCAATTACAAAGTCAATTACTGCAAAAGTATGCATATCGATTTACATGAGAATTCTCGTAAGTTTCCCACACCAACAAGTATATGATGTTTTATTTAAAAACACATATTGTTATCTGTCATCATTGCCAGAAAGGCCCTATAATATTGAATTCTGAACATTTAATTGAAAGAATCTTACCTCCAATATTTTGTTTCTCAAACTTTCAGCCTGATCACGGGTAGCTTCAAAATTTGCTCTTGTCTGTAAGAAAAAGAAACATTTGAAAATTTGAAGACTTATTAACATTATTAACAATGATCCACAATACCTATTAGACCCTGTTTGAAATACTCATCTTTTTGATGAGATCTGTCAATATCACAAAAAAATTAATCTTAGCTTTAAAATTTAAGTATTCAATCTTAGTATATTACGTCCCACAAGGAATTTTTACAAAATTGAGACTTGATATTAAAATTGAGGATCAGGATATAAGGCATATCCTCATCCTTGCTATATATCAGCATATAGCAAGAAAAAAAGTGACAAAAACTTGGACTTATTGTCAGTTCAAAATAATCTAGATATATCTGAAATAATGATTTAAAAAAAAAATTTTAGCCATTCAATTTTGATTCTCTATTGCCGGGCTACATTGAGTTATGAAATGGCTAACATGCCACAAACACATGATAAAAGCACTCATGCCTTCTTTGTGCAGGATAGGAACACACACCCTTCTGTAGACTGTCACTGTTTAGAGTGGCACCCAATCAACAATGCTTTTAAAAGACCTCTCAACTAAAATAGGGGCAGAATTGGACCCATCTTTGCAACAACTTAATGTCTTCATATTCATTACCACGTGTCCTTGAATGTTTGACAATGGCTCAAACAAACAGAAAACAACTTACTTTTTGCAGCTTAAGCTGCAGTTCATTCATGACAGGTTTAAAATCGCAGGCAACTTCGTGGCCTTGGTGATAAAAAGTCAGCCAGCTGAACATGAAGCGAAGAAGCTGTAACAGATGTTACAAATATATGAAGGATCACATGTATATTATATGCTATAATTTGAATGTATGTAACAATTCTGCCATTAAAAAATCTAGAATGTCCACAGGATACTGAATATATAGTTAAAACATTACCTTGTAGTAAATATCACGATATCAATTCATCTGTCAAAAATCCTTATTCACGCCTAGACATACCCTGCTTCTCAATATTGTCGGTAAGAATCGAATTGATCAATATTCCCAAGATCCGTAGGTTAATTAACACATCAAAAAGCAGATTCCGTCGGGTCATTTCGTCCCTGGGGCCCTATGCCTTTACGGCAGAGTGACGTTACGCGAGGCGCGGCAGTCTTGCCGGGCCGGCGAAGGAAGCTTGTGTAGTACTCACCGTCTCCACGAACTCGAACTTCTTGCGCTCCTGGACCTCCTGCAGCAGGAACACGTACTCGAGGCTGGCCTGTACGAAGTGCCGCTGCTCCATGGCCAGCGCCGCGTCCGCCTGCAGGCACACGCCACCACCGCAAAGCGTCAGCGGCCGCCATCACACCGCCCCCGCAGCCGCGCCGTCGCCGCCGGGGAGGACGACGAGGGAGAAGGTTAGGGGGCGCGCGCCGCCTCCGCTGCTTACCGCCACCGCGGACCGCCGCCACTATCACCACCGCCGACACCACCTCCACCGGCACCGGGGGGTCTCCCCGGGCCCGCGTCGCGGGCGCCATCCGCCGCCACCCCCGCCGAAGACGGGCCAGCGGCCGCCGCGCACACCCTTCGCACCGCTCTCTAACCAAGCGTCATTTGCGTCGCTCGAGAAGAAGCAGCGGGCCGACGGAGGATTCGAGCGGGGACCAACCCCTTTGCGGCCGGCGACGGCGACACGCCGGCCTGCAGCAGGGGTTGCGGCTGCGGCACACGGGACCCCCTTGCTGCTTGGGCGACGCGCTCAAGCGCCGGCGGGGGCTGCCGCCGAGGCTACTGGCGGCGCTGCCAGCGCGATCAATAGACGCCCGCGGGGGCGGCGGCGGCGGCGGTGGCGGCGACGACGCGGAGAGGCAGCTCTCGGGGCCCCGGGATCGATCGCGAGGCGGATTCAGAGACAACACTCTCCCGAGGGTGGCCGCGCGAGGACGGGGGACGCTGACAACGATGAGGACGGAGGACGCGTGGGTGGCGCAGCGCGCAGGGCGATGCTGAATGCGCACGCTGCGGCTGTGACGGACAGTGCGTGGTCGGCGCGGCTGTCGTCTCTGACGTAGAGCGCATCGGTGGGAGTGGCGGGGTGAGGTGGTTGATGGTGTAAGGAACAGAGCAGAGGCAAGACGATTCCACGAGAGGAAGGTAGTCGGCTAGTCGAATGAAGAACATTAACGTAATCGAGAGATCGAGAGAGAGAAATCTTATGACAATCAAAGATATAGTAGACAAAAAATTGCCGAGTTCAAGAATAGATAAATCCGTCGTCGCCACGAAGGAATTTAAACAATACGTTGTAATTTGAACTATTACTAAATATGACGAATGGACTTTTGTTTTAAATTTCAAACAATGGTCTTTAAGATCTCCTTTCTCGAATATTACAATTCATACTCCATATTTACGTAGTGAAAGGAAGGTTATGAGATAATGCAAAAAAATCGTTATGATGAAATTCTAATGAAAGTACACTTTCCTTTCTGGGGCACTTGATACCGAAAAAGCGATTTTTTCAAATGTTCATTCGTCCTTGTGTGTTTCCTATGAACAACACTAAAACATACCCTATGCCATACACACAATTTCGTTCGCATTGTCACCTGATAGCGTAAAGAACGCTTAAGAGAATGGCGCTGGTCTCATTTTCCTTAAAATCCCTGAGTTTTCAAAAATTGCAAAAGTTCAAATTTTTTTCGGTGTCTTCCTACAATATTGAAGAAAGAGTTTTTTCCTCAATGAAAGCTATTGTTCAAAAGCATATCTCCAAATGAGGACATGTACAATTTTTCGATAGTGCTAGTAGTTTTCGCGTATTTTTTCGAGAAATATTGGGAATTTTCAAAAAATGATTTTCTCAAATAGACTCCATATTTCATAAAATTGTCTCCTCGTATACATCAAAGTACGGTAAAAAAAATTGGTGATGGTTACATTTTCGGCAAACACACTGCATTTTCGAAAATACCACAAAATGAACATTGCGAAACTACAATATTAAATATAAAAGTTTTTGTTTTAAATTAAATTTGTTCTAAAAATTCGTATCTGTAAAAAAGATCGTGTACATTATTTGAAAGAAAAAATAAACCTAGTGTTTTTGTATCATTTCTGCTTGAAGGAAAGGGAATTTGAAAGAAAAAAAAGTTTTTTCAATAACGGCTTCAAATGTTCTCTTAAAACTTCGAGTATAGAGCAGGTCAGAAAATGACGCAAGTTTCAATTCCGTTGAACTCTCTGAGTTTTCGAAAATTGCAAAAGTTAGAAATAATGCGAGAAAGTATATGGTGGAAAGGAACTAGTTTCCTATAAAATTGTAGTGAAGGTTCAATTCTCGTTTCAACTTGAATTTTCGTAAGTTCACATTTCTTTTGCACATCTACAACCACGGTTTTGAAACTGGAGGTTTTTTTAAAAAAAAATTTTCCTTCAAAATAATATATTCAAATGATGCAATGCAACGTTTTTCAAAGATGGGTAGCTGTCACGTAATTTACACATACATACATACATACATACATACATACATAAAGTCGGGTTAGTTACACCATTTATAACTCAAGAACGGCTGAGCCAATTTTAATATCTCTGATTTGTTGGAACCGTCCAAATCGAATAGTAGAATAACTATTAAAATATCGAAAAACAACAACAAAGAACACAACATTCATGACAAATGCAATCCCCAAACACATGGCAAGATGCCTCTGTATTGTTAAATAACTCCTAAACAAAGTGTTCTAGGGCATTCAAAACTAAAATTTCGAGTCCAAAGGCCCGGAACATTTGCCACACCGTAATCTGCAGGATGAGATCTTAAACATTCTATTATATACTTGCTGGTTCGGCGCTTTTCGATACTACCCCACCTGCTCAGAGAAGTGCAGAATCTGCAACTACATGTGTATGATAGGGACACAGAGAGAGAAACAGACATTGAGAGAGCGAGCACGAGGGAGGGAGGGAGGGAGAAGAGAGGAGAGGAGGAGAGGAGAGGAGAAGAGAAAGAGGGAGAGACGGTGATAGAAATGGAGAGGGAAGGAGAAAGAAAGAGATGAAAGGCAGAACAATATTTAAAGGGTTCCAGTAGTTTTGAATTAAATAGTGAGCATTTTCCAAAATTATGCAAAATTTCTCAAAAAGACAGCAATTATATCTTTAAATTTTCTATAAGGATGGACCACACTAAACTGAATTATTTTTAAGTGCATATTTTATTAAAACTTTTGAATTAAAAAAATTAAAGATATGTTTTATTTTATGAACGAATCGGACAAATCAACTATTGAAGGGTGATGCACACGGCAGCGGAACGCTCAACATGCTCACCGCAGACACTTTCTCGAGTTCGAATCCCACCTCGGACAAATATTTGTATTGAACGATGAGAGCACCAACAGAGGCACGTGTTGAGGTAAAGAACTAACGCCAACTGAAGTAATCCGCAGTTTGCAGACATGGTATGTAATAGTTTAAATGTGCGAAATTTTCGCACGGGTTAAGCTATTTTTATAATATTATTACATCCTTATAAATACTGCGAGAAAGTAGGTCCTGTTGTACCACCATTAGTTATAATTTACGTTTTGTATTAGCAAGAGTACAGTTTAATCCTCATCAAAACGGGAACATGGTTGAAAAGAATGCATCTACACTTCAAAGTGTTTTCAAGTGGACTAATTCTTATTTTGAATCATTTACATTTTTATGAAATCGATTTTCTTGCTTGAAATTGTTTTCCCGCAACGTTAACATTCATTTCATTGCGTCAGTCTGTACAAAACTGTCTGCGCTCATCCAATCACTCACGATCGGTTTCTTGGAAAGTTCAAATAAGTACTCAAGTATATTATAAAGTCACTCAAGTTCCAGTGGAAGGATACTCAGAAAAATGATTGGAACAATTTTGTGCAATAATTGAACAACACAGGTAAAATAATAAATATCTGAGTTATGAGCAGATAATTTTGAATAAACGAAATATACAATTTTAATGCCGGTGCGGACACAATATGCGGTATTTTTTCGTCCATTAAACCATATCTCTTCCGTTTCTTTCCTTTCGATTCCACCTTGCCTCTTTCCCATATTATATATATTTTTTTTATTTTTCCAGGGTTCTCAGAACCACTCTTTGGTGTTTTCTTTGTGTTTATAATTTTTTCTTTTTTAATTTTTTTGGTTTTTCCTTTTGGTTACCGTTTCTCTCTATATTATAATCATAAATATATATCTTTTTCTACATCGTTTTGCTCACTTACTAACTAAATAAACTTTTGCCCAACCATTTTTGATAAGTATGTGGACGTTACAAACACTAATTTGGACATTTTATTAAATATAACAAATAATTGGTTAAGATTTTGTAACAGAAAACCAATATTAGTTAGCAACGTTAAAATTTTGAAAATTCAAATGTTTTTTATATTGTGTAACGATATAAATGAACTTTCAATAAATTATGTATTTGATTAAAAGAAACATGTATCACAGAAGACAGAGACTGCTCTCGCATATCGATGTTATGTACTCATGGTAGAGAGACATAAGAGTTGGTAGATATTCTGAGAACGTTGTACACGGATCTTTTTGATCTCTGAATATATTTGAATACTTTATCTTGTGCAATCAATTTAACGCATATATCAGTGCAATGAGCCCAGTTGGGTAAATGAACGACAAATGCACTTAAATGAAGAAAGCACAAGTGACTAACATAATATCAATCAATACACACTAATTGAAGGATAGGATTGCAGAGCTCATCATGGGAGGAGGACACAAGACATTTTCTTTTGAGAAGAAGACATCAC